CGGCGCGCCGAGCGCCGGCGCTGCTGGCGCAGAAGTGGCCCTGCTCAGCTGCTGCCGTGGGCGCGCTGCTGGCGCAGAGGTGGCCCTGCTCAGCTGCTGCCGTGGGCGTGCCGTGGTCGTGTCGGACGGATCGCAGGGGCAGCGGCGGCGGCGAGTGCAAGGCGCCTCTTTGCGCGGCGGGTGCCCATGACGACTCGCCCCTCCTCTTCCTCCTCCTCCTCCTCCTCCTCCTCCTCCTCCTCCTCCTCCTCCTCCCTCCTCCTCCTCCTCCCCTGTAGCCACTTTGGCCGACGCCGCTTTGGCTCAAGGCAAACTGCTGAAGGATAGACGTTCGCCGAATCTCGATCGCATTGGCTGCATCTGCGCCGCCGAGGCTCGAAATGTCCTGCGGACCGACAAGCGGCCCTGATGTCCTCGCGGGCGGAGCCTGCTGCTGTCCCTCCCGCTGGGGTGGCGACCTCGAGATGCAAGGGCCATGGCATCTGCCAGGGGACGGGGCCAAGTCATGGGCCAAGTCATGCAGAGCACGACTGCGGATACCCACCCGCAAGATTCGCTGTAGCCAAGGGAGCGACGACAGGAGACGGGTCTTACGCGAGAAGACGCAGCGACCCTACGCCGCGACTTGCGCGTGACGCCAGCGCGGCACGCCGCGTGGAGGAGAAGGCACTTACGCGCGGCCTTGCGCGAGAAACATAAGCCATATGTCGGCGCAATCGGCCCCGTTTTCTTCCGTCGCTCAAATGCTTTGCTGCGCGATCCGTCACCACCCAGGCTCGAACTCAAAAGTCGTTCGACGCGCTCAAGAGCCACGCAGAGGAAAAGCCTGCGCAATCCTAGCCTGAACGCTCCATCGTTGCGCAGACCACTGCCCAACGTCCTCTGCCTAGAGTCAGGGAGCACTAAACCGGGTAACGCCTAAACGGGGTAACAGACCCACCATGGGATCCAGGTGGAAAAACTGCAACGACCAGAACAACAACAATGCACTGAATTCTTCTGCAACGCAAGAAGAAAAGCTGCACTGCAATTTGTTGGCAACTAGTTGTGGAAAAACTGCAAACAAGCCCCACAGACCGGGTAACAGAGGGCCCAAAACAAAAAGTTGCAGTGCAGCAACCGAACATGTGCAACGCAGCCAACATGTGGAAGGTGCTTCCCACATGTCTGCAGGCCACCCGGGCGCAGAGCCTCACGAATCAGATCCCACATCAAAAGGGCATCGCTACTCAGTGTGATGACACCTTGCTGGCCTCGGAACTGCGGGCCGAGGTCACCCTGGCCAAGTGCACGGCGGCTGCTGCCAGCCTTATCGAGGCCAAGAACGAGCCGGACAGCTCGTCTTTGGACTCGACGGCGTCGTCGTTGTCGTCGTCGTCGTCGTCGCCGTCGTCGTGGCCGTCGCCGCCCTCCGCCGTCCCAGGCGTGCTCGAGCTCTAGCCTTCGAGGTAGAGGCGGTTGCAGACGCTGGCGCGCCCCGCACGGATTCGGGGGCCTGCAGGGGTTGGCACGGCTGCAAGGAGGTGTTTGAAGGGGCCCCAGGACACACAAATAAAGACACACAAATAAACAGATTCCCTTTATTTTCCCATATGTTCTGGGTTTCTGTCTTCCCCCCCACTTCCCATATTTTCCCTTATTTTCTGGTGAATCGACGATTAATTGTGTCTGTGTGTTTTTTTCCCTCCTGAGTGTTACCGTACGGTTGTGAGCTGATTCAGGCTGCTTTCGACCAGCTTGACCGCGAGACCCAAAAGATGAATCACGAACGTCTACCACTCTCGCCTCCAAACATACCCTTTACTATTGCCGTCACTTGCCTCCATTTGCGTGCACCCGTGTTTGAGCTGCTTTAAACTGCATTGCAATTACACTTGATTTCGCATTTGTCTGTCATTGCGCGACTGTGCTTCTACTACTTGCGATTATTTCCTCGCGCTTGCAAGCGTGTTTTCGCGCTTGACTGCTGGCTCAGTTGCACATCGGCATGCGTCCACACGTTTACCTTACTGTCCGATAATCTATATGTTCCTCGCTTGCGTGGCTGCTTTGGGTTGCTCGCTTGCTCTGGCTTGCCTGGCCATGGTGGCTGACGTGTTTGTTTGCCTACGCTTATTTCTCGCTGCATCTCCATAATACGCACTCCTAGACATTGAAGGTTACCACTGTGCATGATGATTTGCGTTCGCTTGCTCGTACTTTCGCTTGCAGGATTGCTGTCACGACCGAGCTTGTTTGCAGATGTTCGCCTAATTGTGCCCCTTGCTCGGCTTACACCGCTTGCTTGTGCAAATCAAGGCGCGAAGGCGACTGTGTGGGATTGCGTGTAGGCACATATGTGAGGCACAAGCGTTGGCCATGTGCCATGGGTCAGACAACAAAGGACGCCCCGATAGGTACGCAACGGATTCGGATGCAGTCGTCGTGCTACGTGCTACCAGAAGGCCACTAAAGAACGAAGCGACTCTTCCTGGCCATGGTGAGCCTCGGACACAAATGCATTCCCGGACCTGGACTGCAGGAAGTGCACGAAAACCGGAGCCCTTCCTGTATCCAGAATGGCCCCTACTTCAGCGTCTCGACTGTACTCTGTGCGAGCTCGTGTGCCCGATCCACCTTGGAGAACACGCGAGATCGGCACCCTGCAGGTAGACCCAACCGGTCTTCGGGCGCATGCCTCTCAACCGAGAGTGGCCTCGCCGCGTGGCGGCACAACCGGCCCCACCTTCTCGAGACGGCCTCGGCTCACCTGGCCCTTCGCGCCCTCGCGGTGGTGTCGGGGGCGTCCACGAGGGGGGCTCGCAATTCGTGGCCCGAGGCTCGTGCGCGGCCCATGGGGGGGCCAGGATCCGCGTTGAAAGGAGAATCGGGGCCATGTGTTTCGTTTGTGGGGGAAATATCACGCCCCTCTTGGCCGCCCCGAGAGAGGCCATGCTGAGTCTTGGGCGCTCCGTCGTTCGGCTCGCCTGCTGGGCAACCATTCGGGGCTCCAAAACCATATGGTGACGGACCGTGTGGTGACCCCGGAGTCCCCAGCGACCTCACCGCGCGGCCCATCACCGCCCGTTTTCGGTAACCTGGCAACCCCCATGGCCTGAACGGTCCTCGGAGAACGACCCGAGACCCAAAGCCGTGCGGAGACACCGAACTCCTACTGACTCGGGCCGTGGTCACGTTTTGGGCCCCCCCGAAGCCCGAAGGGGCTGGCGGACCGCCCCCCCCCACCCCCTGCACCGCAGCGCAGCGGAGGCACTTTTTTCCACCGCAGGCGCCCGTCGCCCTACGATGGCCTGTGCCGCAGCGGCTGCAGGGTCCACGGCATCAGCAGCGGAGGGCTCGCGAGGCCTGCGGGGGGGGGGGAAGGCAAGGTTAGGACAGCTCCAAGGGGAAGAGACTCGCAGGTCTGATGCGACAGCTCTGGGGTGGCACCCACCAGAGGGGGCTTTTGTGCGTTGGGCGGATATGGAGGATCTCCTTGGCGGAGGGTGAAGAGGGGAGGGGCGGGTGGGCGGGGGGGGGAGGGGAGAGAGGATGGGGGGGGACGGGGATGGGACGGTGGGAGGCCGATGGGGAACTGAAGGGAGCGGAACGGAGCGGGACGCTTGCGATCCTGTGGGCTGGTTCCTCCGGACGGCGTCTTGCTATCTGCTGATGGGAACTGGAGGGAGGGGGAGGATCGGGATGGGGCGACGAGGAGGCTAGGAAGACAGGCATAAGGATACATATATATATATAGAGAGAGAGAGAGAAGGAGAGCGAGAAGAAGAGAGAGAGAGAGAGAGTGCTACAGACATCTATACACACAAATGTGTGTATATATATAGTATCTAGGCCTAGCAACAACTACATCAATCCATTTATACATACACACCGCGAGAGAGAGAGAGAGAGCGAGAGAGCGAGAACGAGAGAGAGAGAGAGATAGATGACGACTTATACAGGGCGGCCTCAACGTGAATGCGAGCATCCACTCCTCATCCCTCTTCCCTCTTTCCCTTTTTCCCCAGTCCTCCTGTGTTGGGTTCTCGTTTTGCAGAAAGCGCTGCTCGCGCGGCTCCGTCCGTCCTTCGCTCCTGCCGCCCCCCCTCTCTTTCCCTGCCTCCTGCCTCCTGCCCCCCTTGCTCGCCGCGTTCGTGGGCCTCCTGGGAGGCACAGCGGAGGTGAGGGCAGCGCGGCTCCAGGCGAGACCTCGTGGCCTTGTCGGGGGCTGCGAGCTGTGCATCCCGTCGTCAAGTTCGTGGGCTCCCGGGAGGCCCGGCGGAGGTGAGGGCAGCGCGGCTCCAGGCGAGACCTCGCGGTCCCGTTGGGGGCTGCGAGCTGCGCGACTGTCGTCACTGCAGGGGGCTCCTGGGAGGCACGGCGGAGCGGAAGGCAGCGCGGCTCCGTGCGAGGCCTCGCGGCTGCCTCGGAGGGCTGCGGACCGCGCATCCGTCGCCACGTTCGTGGGCTCCTGGGAGGCACGGCGGAGGTGAGGACAGCGCGGCTCCGTGCGAGGCCTCGCGGCTGCCTCGGAGGGCTGCGGACCGCGCATCCGTCGCCACGTTCGTGGGCTCCAGGGAGGCACGGCGGAGGTGAGGGTAGCGCGGGTCCAGGCGAGGCCTCGCGGCTGCCTCGGAGGGCTGCGAGCTGCGCACCTGTCGTCACGTTCGTGGGCTCCCGGGAGGTCCAGCGGGGTGGATGGTCAAACCGTTCCTTTTGCGACCTCGCTGCTCTCTCTGGGTAGGCCGGGAACTGCGCAAGAGTCGCCGGTTTCGTACGCTCCTGGGAGGTCCAGCGCAGTGGGGGCTCCTGCGACGCGCGTGGCCCTACATGTTTTAACACATCATGTCAGAATGCTGCGTACCCCTGTAACGTACTTTTTTTGTGTGTATAAAGCGCTTCATCTAAATAGTCGCCTCGCGTGCAGAACGGGTTGGCAACGTCTCGGGATGTTCGTTACTATTCCCCTCCTTGGATGCACGAGTCGTCCTGCCTCCGATCGATGCGAATATGAATGCTTTGCCAGTCCCTCAGCTGCACGCGCCCCCGCACACTGGAGGTCCTCGCCAAGACCGGGAACTCACCTGAAGTTCGCGGGAGCAGGCCAATTGCTGTGAGCGTCGCGTTCGCGCAACAGGATGGTGGACAGACGCCCCAACTCCTGCGTGAGCACGCATGACACCGGTGAACTGCACGAGTGTCAGGGGCGGGTGAGGGAACTGTTTTTTGGAGGGGGGAGTCGGGCTCTGGCCGAATCAGTGGGGAAGACTGTTTCGCTCACGGGGCCGGCAACACCAAGCTGTATCCCCCCCCCAGAGGAGCTGACACCAGGCGCAGCGCCCGCGGTGTCCGCAGTGGCCTGCAAGCAAGAAGAGCCCGTGCCAACACCTCGCACGGACTGCTGCACGTGCCCACCGCCCCGGAAGCGGCCCGCGGGAACCGAGACGCGCGGCGGGTGCCTCCCCTCGGCTGCGGCCCAACACGCCTCACGTCACGCCTCGGCAGACAGCGAAAGAGGCACCGACGCCGCCAGCCGTGAGCAGCCCCTCCGCCGCTCGAGGGCAGCCGCTGCTTCACTCGTCTCCTCCCGCTCATCCGCGCGCGGCCCTCCGCCGCTCGCTGGAGACCCGCCGCGGCTCACGCGGCCGCGCCGAGGCGCGTCAGGTCTCCGCGGACGCTGGCCAGCACGGCGGGGGCCGCGGCGCGCTCTGCCTCCAGGACGCCAAGGGTCGCCAAGGCCTCTGCCACGGTCCAGAGGGCGAGGAGGAGGAGGAGGAGGAGGAGGAGGAGGAGGAGGAGGAGGTGGGGAGGAGGAGGAGGAGGAGGAGGAGGCGGAGGAGGAGGAGGGGAGGAGGAGAAGGAGGAGGAGGAGGAGGAGGAGAAGGAGGAGGGAGGGGATGATGATGATGATGATGATGATGATGATGATGATGATGATGATGATGATGAGGAGGAGGAGGAGGAGGAGCGGGAGGCGGAGGAGGCGGAGGAGGTGGAGGGGAGGGAGGAGGGGGGGGGTGTATGGGGAGGGGAGGAGGAGGAGGTAGAGGAGGCGGAGAGGAGGAGGTATCAGGAGGAGGAGGGGAGGAGGGAGTAGAGAGAAGGTGGAGGGGAGGAGGAGGAAGGAGGAGGAGGAGGTGGGAGGAAGGAGGGGGAGGAGAGGAGGAGAAGGGGGGGAGGAGGAGAGAGATGAGAAGGGAGGATAAGGGGCGGAGGAGGATGATGAGGAGGGAGGCGGAAATTAGAGGAGGAGGAGGAGGAGAAAAGGAGGAGGAGGAGGTAGGAGGAGGAAGGGGATGAGGAGGAGGAAGAGGAGGAGGATCAGGACGGAGGAGGAGGAGGAGGAGGAGGAGGAGGATGAGGAGAAGAAAGGGGAGGAGGAGGAGGGGAGGAGGAGAGGAGGAGGAGGAGGAGGAGGAGGAGGAGAGAGGAGGAGGATCAGGACTGGACTGGACTCACTGGAAATCATGGAAAGCCTGGATTCCATCACAACAGCAACTCTGACTGCAACATGAAATCGCAAAGAGAGCATGACAACTGCTGCGCGGAAGACTTCAGATAAGAGGCCTGCGAGCCTCCGCCATTACACGATGATATGGATGGCTGCCGCGCTCTGCACAAGGCAGCACTGGCCTTGGCCAGCAACCCCAGGCGGCACGCGACCGCACTCAGGGGGCTGGCTCTGAGGCGTGCGGTTCGAGTCTCCCCCTTCCCGCTCCACGACCCCGCGGCCCACGACCCCCACCACCCCGACCACGACCCCGCCCCCCTCCCACAGAAGCAGGCGTTGGCGGTGGCATCACTATCACTGGGGTGGCTGGGAGTGCTGGATGACTATATGCAACGACCTTATTGTGCATGATATCTAGGATATCTTCCCTCACTACTCCGCGAGAGACCAGTTCACGGAAACGATCAGAATTCTGAAAAGCTCTCACGACTCTCTGTTGGCCAGCAGTCTGGAGATCTCTCTCTCGAGTGGGCCTCTGGGAGCCGCTCCCGATAGGAGCCGCCCCCCCTCCAACTTCAGAAGGCGCTCGAACAAGTCCGCTAGACGACGACCCACCTCCATCTCCCTGTGGAACGAGAACATGATGATGGCTTTCTGCGGCTCCCCCTCGATTTTCTTCATGGTTTTGATTCGAAACATCCCGCACGCCCGAGACAACTCGTTCATGCCGATATTCTTCATCTTGCTCTCCCACAGCTCTCTGAACTCCGTGATCAATTTGCGCTCCTGCTCCTCTCCTGCCCCTGCTGCTGGGCTGTGAGTGGCGCCATGTGCCGTGGCAGCGACGAGAATGTGCAAGTGGGGCGGACCTCGCGCGAGCATCTCCTCCCTGGCGGTGCGCCTGGCCTGGTCCCCTCCCTCCTTCGTGCGGTCCTTGAGGGCCTTCGAATCGTCGTCGTATGCCTTGCCTGCCTTGAGGCAAGCTGCTGCCAGACCGCTTCCCACCAGGATTTCGACTTTGATGAAGACGCATGCCGCCATGGCGGCGATCTCCCGACTGTTGCTGAGCACGAGGCGGGCCATTGTACTGACGAGCATGCGGGGTGCTTTGTCTCCCTGGGCCGACTGCTTGAAATGCTTGGGCTTCCGTTCGGCTTGGGCCTGTTCGACTGTGGCGCCCCCCCCCCCCCCCCCCCTCGGCCTCCTCCTTCCTTTTCGGAATCTTGGACCGCGAGGGGAAGCTCAACTCCTCCATCGGCTCTGAAGGGGGCCCTCACGGAGGACGGGGCGAACGGGGCGATCACAATGGGCAGGCGGCTGCAGAGGTTGTCACACAGGTCCGAAAGACTCGAGCCCTTATAATCACAGCGCGGACATGTAAACGAGGGTGGAACATCAGCAACAGTTTTCATAGTAGCTGGCCCACGTGTTATACAGTGCCCCCGAGAAATAAACCCTTGGAGATGGCGTCCCGCATTAGAGGTACTTGCAAACACCTGTCTGCAATGAATGCATATGTTGCTGACTGTGAGTGTATGCGCGAGATTTCTGGCATGGTGAACTTGACGAAGCTGATTCATGTAGTCCCGTCGATTGGAGAATTCCACTTTGCACCTCTGGCCTTCAACCTCGAGCTCACACACGAACATAGGGTCCTCGGCGCTCCCATCCACGGCCGCTGCTGTCGAGTCGTGAATGCCCGCGGCCCCCGCCGACGTCTCGGCGCAATGACGTGTCGGCGCAGGGGGAGGGATCGCCACCGAATGCACACGTGCTCTGAGTACCGAAAAATCGTATACAGAAACAATTTCGGCCCACTCTCGATCCCTGAGAAGACGGAGGTCGCGGTGCAGTTCATCCAGAAACTCTTCATCCAGGAGTCCTGACGCCCACCCTACATCATGATGTACTTGTCTGACATAGGGGGAAGAAAAGGCAGATGGCAGACCACTCACCAACTGAGGTCGATGAGCGTCCGCGGGCATCTCCCCAAACAGGCTGCGCAGCACTTGGCCACTGCTCTCGGGGCCCTTTGCCCAGCCTTGGTACATGCCCAGGCGTCGGACTGCCATCTCGACCTCACCCGGTGCCACCTTCCAGTAGTTCAGGACCTGCTTATTACTCATGCTCCTCACCTTCTCCTCCCCGTTCACCACCTCCTTCTCCGATGCTTTGCCCCTCATAGCTATCCGTCCCATAGCTGCTAGCCCACAGTCCAGACGACGGTAATCCACCTTAGATAATGCATAGGACTCCAGCCCACTTAAGATAGCGTTTTGAGCGAACCCCAGGAACATCACCCGCTTCCACTTATATGGCAACGGCAGGGACCAGACACCCCCCAGGCTGTGAAACGTGCTCCTGGCAGCGACGAGGCGCTTCCCGATCTCATGGGCGGCCGACTCACGTTGCACGAGAAACGGACCCAGGTACCGAGCCTCATCCTTGGGGGTGCCCTCCGTAAGCCGAGGATGGTCCCGAAGTATCTTCTTACACGTATGTGACAGCCTTGAGAAGTGGAACAGCAGCTGCTGCTTAGACATGTTCTGCCCGCAACCGAAGAGAGCCAACTTTTCATTCCAGATCTCGTCCGATAATCTGATCTTCCCCAGGAACCCCTCCAGTGAAGTCCCGAAATCTGCTAAGATAACCTTATTCAAGTCGTCGGCGTACTTAATCAGAGAGAGGTCTGCCCTAATGTCGCCCCACTGTGCGTTGAGATCCTTAGCGCTTGGGCCCCTACTCCAGAGCTCCCGCCCCCATCCCAGGATCGGCCTCGAGAACGTGGCCAAGAACATGGCGACAATGTAAGGATCACCCATTGTCCCCCCCTGCTTCGGCTGAACTGTGCATCTGGCCCCGCTCGTCGGGAGTTCAATCACTGACTTCCGATAACGCTGACGACATACTTCAACATCGTGGTCCGCACAATGTATACCTACGGTAGTGTCCATCGACTCGTGCGCGCTACTCGCAAATGCATTCGGCATATCCTTCATATATACACAATGAGTTCTTGACGCCGCTCGTAGACGCCACATCGTACAATTAGATATAAGTACTGCGTTCTCACGCCGTCGGCCCCGTACAAACCCGTGATCCTGGATAGAGGGCGTTGGTCGCAACTTCTTCGAATAGTATCCTTCCCCTATCGTCGGGAGCACATGCACGACACGCTTGCCCAAAGGGCCTACCATCAATGACTTCGGGAGCGCCGCTGCCTGACTGCGGTGCCAATACAGGGGGGTGATATTATGCCGTCGAATCTTCAATAGTCCAACGTGCAAGAGGAACCACAGGGTCTTGTTGTCGGGGGGGTCCTCGCTCGCGCCCACGCCTAGGTTCTGCTGCATTCGCCACCGAGGAAAGAGACACATATGCCAGAGTTCGAGAGGGGCCGTGCCCTCTGGGACCACACGCCTCTTGGGCGCGTCCCTGAAATAAGAACGAAGGTTCTGGACATCAGTCTTAACTAAGGAGGTAAGCTCTGGGTCGTCGAGCTCGTAATCGTACGTCTCGCCCTCCCCCTCAGCTCTCCACTCCTCCCACACAATCGGTTCAACCTGCATGCCGCCCTCGCAACCAGGTTTCTGCCACACGTGAAGCCAGTCCTCAGCATCTGGGGGCGCACCGGTGGCCAATCGTGCATCACGGCGTTGCGGCCCATACCGGCAACGAGCTGCACGACGGGAGGCTTTCATCGCCTCCGCGGTACGCCTCCTGGCCCAAAATTCACTGGCTTCCGGAAGCAATCTGGCACGAAACTGACGCAGGTGTTGCCGACGTTCCTTGTGGAGCTGGGCTGAGAGGGCCTTCAGCTGAGCATCGATCTCCTCGGCCCCCTCCTCGTCCCTCTCCTCCTTCCGCCCTCGTAGCTCGACGCGCTGACGAAGCAGGTTTCGGCGGCGTTCACAGTCCTCTCCGTGCCCTGCTCGTCTCTGAGTGTCCCCCGAGAAGTGCACCTGCCCCGCCCGAACCAAGGCTCCCTCCAATATCTCAAATATTTCATCTGGGGACGCGTAGTCACGAAGATAAGGGACTCCTGCCCCCACCAGCTCCTCATTGACGGTCTTTATAAATTCCTACCTCCCCCTCCCAGATCTGAGCCCCTCCATCATGTCATCATAATTCCAACGGATCCTATCATCAGCTGGTCGCATCCGTCCACCTTCATTGAACTCCATACTGAGCACCACAGGCAGATGATCCCGAGGGGGGGCTCCCCTGATAGGCTGTAATTTAGCTCCTAGTCGACGTAATGGATGGCAATGCTGAGTAAGACGTGCTAACCCTTGGGGGTAACAGATAAAATCAATGCAGCTCGAAGAAGTATTCCCCCAAAAAAACTATGCTCTGCCCTCTGTTGTACATTCCCGGCTATCATATGATGTTTTTCTAGCAGCCCGCGGAGTCGCTCACCCGCCCCACCAGGAAGACGCTCAAGCGTGTCAGCGTTCACCACGCCCGTAGGTATCTTCTCATACGTTCCCTGCCTGAACCTTCCTCCCATCCCGTCGTTGACATCCGAGTAGAGGAAAGGAACGTAGCGGGCGGGTAAGTCACAGATCGCCGAGTCCAGCCACTCTATCAGGACCGACACAGTATTATAATACACAGTACGGGCGGCCTTACTCCCTTTAGCAGGTATGGGCGGGAAATAAACGCTGATAGCACAGAAGTCGGCGGGCCCGTGTTTGACTCGGACGGCGAGTGCACGGCCAGCAGCATCTGCGGGGCTACCCCATATTCTCTTTATATCCTTCTCAACGTAGTGGGGGCCCAGCGCTATCAGTATTCCACAGTGAGGGGTGGAGAGAGGGGCCGTGGCCTGGTGGGGGGCCTCGAAGGCCAACCTGCCGCCGCGCCGCCCCCGCAGCGCCTGGGCGCCGCGCAGCGGGGTCCCTCCCCTCGTCCCTGCAAGGAGCAATATGTCGAAATTGCGAGTCTCCTCGAGGAGGAGGAGGAGGAGGGGGAGGAGGAGGGTCGCCAGGGCCTCTGCCACCAGCTCCGGCCCACAGGCCCGCTGGGGTCCTCCATGCGCGCCGCCCGCCGGCGGGGCCGCGGCCGCGGGGGTCCCCTGCCAGAGCCGCAGGCTCAGGGCGAGCTCCTGCAAGAGGTGCGCCTGGAAGCGCAGGGCAAACGACCTCACCTGGGAAGCAGAGGGACCTACTAGTACTAGATATCCTCGTTGGAGGCGCGCGTCCGACTCGAACATATAGTATACCCATCTTGTAGTATATCGTTTCCCGAGCGGTGTGGCCAGAAAGCGCCCGCCACGACGCGTAAGATTTCTTGGTTCGCGCGTCGCCCCTTGGGGGAGCGACGCACACGTAGTATTAGTATGTTGGGGTGACGCCGATCACCAGCCCGTGGTCTGAGTGGTCTGAGCTGCGAGGCGGGGATTGATCCACATCCACCGCACGGGAACCGACGTCCTGGTGCCCCAGCGGGCGGTGGACATGGACACACTTTGGCCCCCGGGGACCCGCATCTATCCACATCCACCGCCCGTGGAGGTCCGCGAAGGTCGATCCCATAGGCGGTGGTCATGGACAGATCCCCGCCTCGCATGAGCCCAGGCGGTCCGCCGCGAAGGCCATCTCGGACCTCCAGACGTCCGCGAGGCCGTCGACCGCCGCGGCCGAGGGCCTCCCGCCGCCCGCGGCCTCGGCGGCCTCCAGCAGCGCGGCGAAGAGCTGCAGGAGGAAGGCCCAGGGAGCCTCGAGGTGCGGGAGGGTCGCCAGCAGCGACGCGGCCAGCCGGCGCTCGGCGGCGTACGCGTCCAGCCCGGGGGGCGCCAGGGAGAGCCTCTGCGCCGATGGCTCCCCGGGCTCGCCTCGGCGCTCCTCGCTGCGCGGGGCAGCGTTCTCCTCGCCGGGCTCGCCCTGCGGCCCGTGGGCCGCGCGCACGGCCCCGCGGCCGGCCGAGGGAGGGGACAGCAGCTCCCGGAGGCGGACCACGCGGTGGTGGAAGGGCCCATAGTGCGAAGGCGTTGCGCGTGCCAGCTCTGGGAAGCCCTGCGCCAGGCCGCGGCTGGGAGGCCCACCAACGAGCTGGAGCCAGGCCCAGTGGTTCCACGCGTAGTAGTGGTGCTCGTACCTCTTGGCCACCTCCTCCACGAAGGACACCTCCGTGGTCAGCAACTGCAGGGCGCCCTCTGCGGGCAGCGCGCCCCACGAGCTGGACAGGAGGTGCCGCCGAAACGCCCAGGCCTCCCCGCTCTTGTGGTTGGTGCGCAGCACCAGCGAGCTGAACCGCAGCTCGCTCTCCGCTCGGTGGTTCAAAGATGGGGTCCTGCAGGGTGGGGCCCTGAGGATAGGAAGGGCTCCAGGGGAGGACCTGCGCTGCTTGAAGCACCTCGTCCTCAGGACCCCACCCCTCAGGACCCCGTCTTTGAAGCACCGATCCGCGCTGACCGCCTTCGCGCGAAGCAGCTCCTCGCGGCAGGCCCACCCCTCCGCGCAGTCGGCGCTGCAGAGCAGCACAGCCCGCGAGGCCGCCTCGAGCGCCGCCAAGCCCGCAGCCTCGTCCGCGGCGGGGCCGCGCGCTGCGCGCGCCGCCAGCATCGCCCTGTAGGCGTGGCGGTAGATCACGAGCGCGGCCTCCGCCGAGATGGCGAGCTTGTGCTCCATGCACAGGCACCCGCGGTCGGCAGCGTCGCCGTCGGGGCTGCCGAACAGGGCAGCGGACACCTGCGGGAGCACCTCGTACTCGTCGATGTGCGGGTCGGCCCTGAACATCTCGGAGAGGTGGGCCAGCCAGGCGGACATCGGCGCAGACGGCGGCTCGCGGCGACAGGGGACTCGACCAAAGCAGACTTGGGCCACAAAGGCTGCCGAACACGATTACCAACTTGTTTTTTGCCCGTGCCGCGATTGAGCGCCACTCCGGGGAGCCCGATCCACACGACAGCGGATGCTCTGGCTTTTGTGCGGGGGCCGCGCGCGCAGCCTCCCTTGGGTGGGCGGCCGCGGCGGGCCCACTCGGAGTACGCCCGCGAAGGCCGAGGGGAGGCGAGAGCCCAAGGGTGGCGCACACAATCGGGCACTTTCTGCCCTGTACCATGTCGCCCGCGCGCCCGCGGGGTCCCATCGTCGCGCTCACGCGAAGACCGACTTGCACCAGCTGGGGCGCAGCGTCACGCACACGGACTGAGCTAGAAGGGCGCAGCTGCCCCGGTGCGGGAGACGCAACCCGGAGCGTGCCCGCACGAGGCCCAACGCTTCTGTGGGAACCGTAGGCCTGGCACGATACCTCTGTCAAAACGTGGGCCAGCACATGCCGAGCGAACACGCAGCGTGCCGAGCATGGGCATTTTGATGAACACGGCACAGGTTGCGTGTCAACACGTGCGTGTCAGGGCAGCGGGTCGTCCGTGACGGACCTTCGGGGGGGCGGGGGAAGGAAACAGGACAAGCGGGGAGGGCGGCGGCAACCGCCCCACCAAACCGCGACCTTGGGGTTCCCGATCGCACTGCGACAAACTGGTGTGACACATCCATCAACGAGAAACTCCCTGGGTGCTGGGTTACGGGCCAAGAGCGCCTGGAGTTCCACCGCAGTTCCCACGGGCATCGCCCGCATGCGCCCCCAGGCCCATCTCAGAACACCCCTCATACGTTTCGCGGCCCCATTGGGAACTCCACCGAATTCCCCAGTGGCAAGGCCGGCATGAACGTCTCCAGGCCCATGTCAGCCCACCCCTCGCAAGGTTCGTGGCCCCATAGGGACATCCACCGAAGCCCTCAAGGGGTGGGAAGCATGCGGTTCTCCACTTATTTCGATACACCTTTCATGCGATTCGTGGCCACATACAGAGCCCAATCGGAGAGTCCCAAGCCATGTCTGCACACTTCTCTCATACGTTCTGTGTCCCCACAGGGAGCTCCACTGAAGGTGATACACAAGCACGGTACTCACAACTGCATATGGTTGGGTCATTCGCCAGGATCAACGTCTCCAACGGCGAGGTGACGACACAGTCGCGAAACGCGAAGCCGGGACGCTCTTAGGCGAATTCCCATGTGGCGAAAGAGATGGGCGGACTGGGCGGGGGCAGCTACACACATACACACCCGCAAACATGCACACGGGCACATACACCAGCACGCACATAAAGGCACGCGCACATGAACACACAAACAAATACGCACGCACACACAAACACACAACCACAAACAAACATACACACAAACACGCACACACAACAACACACACACACGCACACACGCGCACACACACGCACAGACAGATTTGGCGGTAGCGGCTTCGCGCGCAGCGACGAGGCGGAATAAGTCGAGGGACAGAGCGCGCGGCGGCCCGGGCCCTCAGACGTCGCACACGCACACACGCACGCACGCACGCACGCACGCACACACACACACACCACACCGCACTGCACAACACCACACCACACCACACCACACCACACCACACCACACCACACCACACCACACCAACACACACATGCACACACACACACACGCACACACATACACACACGCACCCACACGCACATACACGCGCACGCACGCACACACGCACACACGCACACACGCTCACACACACGCACACACAGGCACGCACGCACGCAAGCACGCACACACACACACACGCACGCACACCACAACACACACACACACACGCACGCACGCACGCAAGCACGCACGCACCGACGCGCACACAATACACACAACACACACACACACGCACGCAAGCACACACCCACACACACACAGACACCCACCCACACACAACGATACATATATAGGCACAGACACAGACACAGACATAGACACAGACACAATCACACACAGACACTCAAAAACACACGTAGACTCAGACACAAACAGACACGCCCACATACACACAGACACACACAGACAATCCAGACACACACCCACACAGACAAACACAGACACACACAGACTCACGCAGACCCACACACAAACACACACACCCACACCCACCCACACACCAACTCCCACGCACACACACCCACCCACACACACACACACCAACACACACACGCAAACAAACACACACACACACACGCGCACGAAAACACACACGCACACACGCACAAACACACACACACACACACCCACACACATGCACACACGCACACACGCACACACGCACACATGCACACACAAACGCACCCACCCACACACACACACACACACGCACACGCACACGCAAACGTACACGCACACGCACACGCACACGCACACGCAAGCAAACACACACACACACGCACGCACACACACACACACACGCACACAAGCACACAGGCACACACGCACACACACGAACACAAAAACATGCAAACACACACGCACACACGCACAGAGACACACAGAGGCACACAGAGACACATGGAGACACACAGAAACACACACACAGACACACAGAGACAGACAGAGACACACAGAGACACACACAGACACACAGAGACACACAGAGAAACACAGAGACAGACAGAGACACACACAGACACACAGAGACACACAAAAACACACACAGACACATGGAGACACACAGACAGACACACCGACAGACACACAGAGAGACACACAGAGAGACATAAAGAGACACACACACAGACACACAAAGACACACAGAGACACACAGAGACACACGGAGACACACAGAGACACACAGAGACACACAGAGACACACAACGGCACACAGAGGCACACAGAGGCACACAGAGGCACACAGAGACACACAGAGACACACAGAGACACACAGAGACACACAGAGACACACAGAGACACACAGAGACACACAGAGACACACAGAGGCACACAGAGACACACAGAGGCACACAGAGACACACAGAGACACACAGAGACACACAGAGACATACAGAGACACAGACAAACACACAGACACACAGACACGCAGACACGCAGACACGCAGTCATGCAGACACACAGACACGCAGACACGCAGACACGCCCGACACGCAGACACGCAGACGAGACACAGAGACACAGAGACACAGAGACACACGCAGACACACAGAGACACACAGAGACACAGACCCGACACAGAGAGACACAGAGACAGACCAGACACACAGGCAGACCAGTCACACAGACAGACCCGACAGACCAGACACACGGACCAGACGCACAGACACACAGACACACAGCCACACAGACACAGACACACAGAGACACAGAGTCACAGAGACACACAGACACAGAGACACAGAGACACAGAGACACAGAGACACAGAGGCACAGACACACAGAGACACAGAGACACAGAGACACAGACACACAGAGACACAGAGACACAGAGACACAAAGACACAGAGACTCAGACTCACACAGACACACAGACACAGAAACACGCGCACACACAAACACGCGGACACACACAAAAAGACATGCACAGATGCGCTTTAGAAAACGTAGAAACGCGCTCTCCCCGACAACATCCACACGAAACGGGTTCCTTGACCCCTTCTGGACATCCTCCTGGCCTGATCTTTGAGCCGCGTCCAACTGGCAACAGCTTCCCAAAAAGTCTCCGGCAGAGGGATGGGCTGGCCCCCTTTTGCTAGTAAGAACTGGATCTGAGCACGAAGTCGGAAGGCGTTGAAAACAGGTCGGGTTCCCGCCCGCCCCCTCAAAAATGAGGCACGAGGAGGACCGTCCGGTTCTTGATATGGGAGGGCGCCCGAAAAGGATATGCGAACCTGGAAATCCTGAGGTCAGCGCTGTCAGCGAGCGACGGCGACGGGCACGGTGGAGGCTGGTGCACAAGGAACCTCCCGCGAGAAACCCAACCCCAGAGGCCCCAGGACGTCCCTCGAATCTTGGTGCCGGAGCGTCGCGCTCCCCAGCGCAAGACCACCGACACCCAAGAAGCCCAGGGCACCCTGGAGGCAAGCCGGGTGTCTCTTGGCATGGGTCTCTGAATGGGGCCCTGAGGCACACAAGCAAATACGCACACAAATGAAAGGATCCCCCATACTTTCTTATCTTTTCCAAGTTTTTACCAACCATCCTGTGGTGTTGGGTCCTCGTTTTGAAGAGACGGTGGCCCGCGTCTCCTTTCCTTCTCTCCTCCTCCTCCCCCTCCTCCTCCCTCCTCCCCCTCTTCCTTGTGTTTCACCCACCCAGTACAGCGTTTCGTGGCCCCATAGGGAGCTCCACCGAAAGCGCCCAGTGGCTGCGTTCGCATGGCGGCCTCGGGCCATTTCGGCACCCCTCACGAGGATCGTGGCCTCCACTGAAGGCGCCAATGGCAGGGTTCGAATGGCGGCCTCGGGCCATTTCGGCACACCCCTCACGAGGATCGTGGCCCCATAAGGAGCTTCACCGAAGGCTCCAGTGGCAGCGTTCGCATGGCGGCTCGGGCCATTTCGGCACACCCCTCACGAGGATCGTGGCCCCATAAGGAGCTTCACCGAAGGCTCCAGTGGCAGCGTTCGCATGGCGGCTCGGGCCACTTCGGCGCACCCCTCACGAGGATCGTGGCCCCATAAGAGCTCCACCGGAGGCCCCAGTGGCAGGGTTCGCACGGCTGCCCCAGGCCATCTCGGAGCACCCCTCACGAGGATCGTGGCCCCATAGGGTTCTCCACCGAAGGCCCCAGTGGCAGGGTTCGCATGGCGGCCTCGGGCCATGTCGGCACACCCCTCACGAGGATCGTGGCCCCATAAGAGCTCCACCGAAGGCCCCAGTAGCAGCCTCCCTCATGGCTCTCACAGCCCTCTCCTGCTTCTGCTCCTCGGTCAGGGGGACGCCGTCCT